AGGCGTGGGGTCTCTCAGGTCTTCATGGTCACCTTCAGCTAGGCATTCTTCCCGAAGCTCAGCACTTCTGGGGCACTCCAAGAGCCTGTGATGCATGTGGCCTGATGGTGCACCACAAATACAAGTCGTGTCCGCGTCGTAGCCCGCATACATGAACCTACTTCTGGTCCAAATTGACTGGGTCAGGTACGACGCAGGGAGGCTACGATCGCGTTTGCTAGGCCGCTTGTCGACAAGAACTGCTTTAGCGCGAGCCATGTCAACTGCAGGCGCTCCCATCTTTGCTGCCACAGTCTCGGCCTGCTGCCCCTGCCGAGACGCCTCAAGCATGCGACGAATAAGAGCTGGCGAGCTGGTGGTGAGCGGGTAGACCTCGCCTTCCCTGCTCATGCACTCCATGGGGCTGATCCATGACCAGCCAGCTCTGGGTAAACTTAAGCAGGTAGCATCTAGGTGGCCTCTGATATTACCATCCTGAAGGTGGCTGTGTCCAGAATGTTTGCAGCAAATTGTCTAGGTTCAGGAAGCCTGAACTCGGATTTCCTTGGACCTTGGGCAGCCCTGGAAACTATCATACTCCAATAAATGCACGGCCCCACAGCCGATGTCCAGGCGGGGTCTTCAAGAACAGCAAGCGACAGGGCACGCGACCGAGTAGCACACTTGGGCCCCGCAGCCTTTAGGGCAGATTTTGCGCATCCTGGAGTTCCTGAACCGTGAGACCCAGAATGTTGGTCTCGAAATAACCAGCCTGCTGAAGGCCAGCGTTCCAAATCTTCTTGGTGTCTGCTCCTGCGGCGCGAAGGGCTCGCATCAGCGGAGTCGATTCTTTAACTTCCCAGTCCTGGCCTTGAGAGTTTTCCTTCCCTTATTCCTTAGTCTGGCTCCCACTGTGAAAGCAACTCCTAAGTTGGTGGCAGCAGGCTCGGCCTGAGCGGCCTTGGGGTGAAAATGAGCGCCTCGCTCGAGACATCCTCCAACTCTGCTCCGAAAGCGAAGGATGTTGAGCCCAGAAACAAGCAAACCGCCTGAGACATCCCCACAAAATGGCCGCGAACAAGCCCGTGCAACCACCCCTGGCGGCTCCCCTTACGGGTGCTGAAACCAGCGCCCCGCCTGAGATATCCTCACAATCTGCTCTCCAAGCGAAGGATGTTGAGCCCAGAAACAGGCAAACCGCCGGAGACATCCCCACAAAATGGCCGCGAACGAGCCCGTGCAACCACCCCTGGCGGCTCCCCTTAGGGGTGCTGAAACCAGCGCCCCGCCTGAGACATTCTCACAATCTGCTCTCCAAGCGAAGGATGTTGAGCCCAGAAACAGGCAAACCGCCAGAGACATCCCCACAAAATGGCCGCGAACGAGCCCGTGCAACCACCCCTGGCGGCTCCCCTTAGGGGTGCTGAAACCAGCGCCCCGTTTGAGACATCCTCCAAATCTGATGTGTGTTGAGTAAGTCTGAGTATGAGTAGGTCTGAGTATGAGTATGCCTGAGTATGAGTAAGTCTGTGTATGAGTAAGTCTGTGTATGAGTAAGTCTGGGTATGAGTAGGTCTGTGTATGAGAAAGTCTGTGTATGTGTACGTCTGGGTATGAGTAAGTCTGAGTATGAGTAATACTGTGTATGAGTAAGTCTGGTATGAGTAAGTCTGTGTATGAGTACGTCTGGGTGTGAGTAAGTCTGTGTATGAGTAAGTCTGTGTATGAGTATGTCTGAGTGTGAGTAAGTCTGAGTATGAGTAGGTCTGAGTATGAGTAAGTCTGAGTATGAGCAAGTCTGAGTATGACGAGGGGAGGAGGAAAGAGGAGGAGGAAGAGGCAGTAGGAGGCGCCCAAGTAATAACAAGAACCCCATCTTAGGATATGGGGAAAAACAATACAGAGTACACTTGGCGGCGGCGGCGGCTGCGGCGGCTGCGGCGGCGGCGGCTGCGGCGGCTGCGGCGGCGGCGGCGGGGATGGCGGGGGCGGCGGCGGGGGCGGCGGCGGCGGCGGCGGCGGCGGCGGCGGCGGCGGCGGCGGCGGCTGCGGCGGCTGCGGCGGCGGCGGAGGCGGCGGCGGCGGCGGATTGGCCCCCAGTAGCTGCCCATCCAAAGACGACTGCTGAATATGCTGAGGTTCGGGCCAGACTCGGGTGCTACGTATGTGTTGGGAGGGCGGGCGGGAGTGAGCGAGACGGCTTGCGGGCGCGGAGGGAGTCTTGACCTCTCCCCCTACCCCCCCCCTGGACCTGGACGGGTCCCCCGAGGGGTTGGAGCGTCCAAGATGGCCCAAGATGGCTCCAAGAGCGCCTCCAGAGCCCAAGATGAGCACCAAGATGGCCCAAGATATCCCAAGATGCCTCAAGGTGGCTCCCAAGGTGCCTCCAGAGGCCCCAAGACCGCTCCAAGACGGCTCCAAGTGGCCAAAGAGCTCCCCAAGGAGGCCCCGGAGAGGCCCACATCCTTCCAAAACCGATTGGAAATCAATGTGTTTTACTTTCTCGCCTTTTTGCTTCCGATTGCCATCCGAGGCCTCAAGATGGCTCCAAGATGGCCCAAGAGAGCCCCAGGAGAGCCCCAAGACGGCCCCCAGAGCGCCCAAGAGCGCCCCGAGAGCGCTCCAAGAGGGGTCCAGGAGGCGATTTTCGGTGTTCCCGAGGAGGGAGGGTAATTAAGGAACCTCTTTTTTTTTAATCGATCTCCTCCAAGATGGCCCCTAGAGTGCCCCTAAAGCTCCCAAGAGCGCCCCAAGAGGGCCCCAAGAGGCGCCCAGACAGCCCCAAGAGGCCTCCAAGAGGCTCCCAAGAGGCCCTCAAGAGGCCCCAAGAGGATCTCTGAGGCACCCAAGACGCTCAAAGAAGCCCCTGGGCTCGCCAAGATGCTCCTCCTCCTCCTCCTCCTCCTCCTCCTCCTCCTCCTCCTCCTCCTCCTTGCTCACTGTCTCCTCCTCCTTCCTCCTCATCGCCCTCCTCCTTCTCCTCCTTCTCCTCCTCCTACTCCTTCTCCTCCACCATCCTCCCCCATCTTGGGGTATCGGACGGCATTCCCCGCCCTTCGTTCTTCTGCATGCTCCCCCCTTCCCTGATCACCTCAGATCCCATGGGCATCGCCTCTGAATGGGCTGGTGGGGATAGCCACGCAAAGCGCCAACACTGTTTCGCTATGTTCGGCCCCCGGGGGCCCTTACAGAGCTTCAGGGCCGTCAACAACGACTCAGGATGAAAAACAGCTCCCGAAGAGAGGGTCCAGACCTCGGAGAAAATCACGAATGAATGAACGAATGAAGCCGCGCGTCCGTAGGCACATGAGCAATGGCACGAGCGTGCGCCAGACAGTGTACTTGCGCACCGCTGCTTTCCAGGCGTACGCTGGAAAAGTGCCCACATCTGAACAGTTCTAAACAGAATTGCGACAAATCTGCTTAGCATGCTTAGACAATGTTGTTGCCCAAGCCTGCCAGGGCCTGCCCCTCTTCCGGCGGCCGGGCGCCTGCGCCAGCTCAGAGGATGCACGCTAACTTCGGCCTCCGGGGGCCCTTACACCGAGCCTCGGGGCCGTCAACAAACCGACCCAGGATGAGAAACGAGTCCCCGGGGAGGGGGTCCAGACCTCTCGGAGTCGACGTTGTGCACAAATCACGACGTTGGGTGTCTGGGTCTGTCCACCCGTGCGGACTGGCAGATGCCCATAACGGAGGAGGACGATGAAAAAGTGTCCCCGCCGCCGTCACCGCGAGGTCGCCTTCGCATTGTGTACGCAGGGCAGGCATCTAAAATCTGGAGGGTGAAGCTGTGTTTGAATGCCCCGCCAGATTTTTGTTTGGTGCCGCGTTGGCCGTCGTCGTCCCGTCAGTCGCCATGCTGTCGTCGTCGTCGTCGTCGTCGTCGTCGTCGTCGTCGTCGTCGTCGTCCGGCGTCGCCCAAGGACTGCAGGACGCCCACGCAGCCCCCCCCCCCATGCCATCGGCCGTCGCCTCCGTTGTCGTCGTCGCCCGTCCGTCGTCGTCCCGCCAGGACTGCAGGACGCCCGCGCCAGGGGGGGGCAGGCCCAGACATCCGACGTCTCGATTTTTTCGAGACACGGGCCCCCAACCTCCCGACCACTTCCCCGGGACCGGTTTTTCATCCCGAGTCGTTTTTTGACGGTCCCGAGGCCCGGCGAGGGCCTCCAGGGGCCGAAAACGACGAAAAACCTTTGTCTCGATTTTTTCGAGACGCCCGAGGTCTGGGGGGGCTGCGTCTGACCCGTCCGAACAGCCGCCCCCGCCGCTCCGAATCGTCAGCCCTCGGGCCCCCGCTGGCTTCCCCAGGCGGCCCGGGGGCCCACCCCGAGCTCTCCGCCCTCCGTGGGCCGACCTCCGCCGAGCTCCCTATGGCTCGCTGTTTGGGAGGCCACGGGGCCGGCGAAGCCATCTTTTGCGCCGCCCCCCCCCGAGTTCTTTCCTCGATCGTCCGCCACCCTTGTCCACGGCTCCCCGATTTTTTTTTGTTGTTTTTTTGTTGTTGTTCGGCCACGTGCCGCCAGGGCAGCTCCATGTCGACAGTTCCTGGGCCGTGCACCAGGCATTCGGGGGCACGGCTCCCCGAATGCCTGGTGCACGGCCCTGGAACTGTCGACATGGAGCTGCCCTGGCGGCACACGGCCGACGACCCAAAGAGGGTCTCGCGCGAGATCGCGCAGCGACCTCACGCGGTGGCCTGCGCGGGCAGCCAGCGCGGAGACGAGGGCGCTTGCGCGCGACCTTATGCGAGCAGCTTGCGCGAGAATGTCGGATTGGACGACCCCGTGTCCTTTCGTTGCCCACGTCGGGGAGGAACCCGGCTGGCTGCCGCAGCCCTTGTGGCCGGGGAGCGAGGGGTGCCGCGAGGCAGGCCCCCGCCGCGCGTGCCAGTCAGCCGCCGCAGCCACCACCGCCGCAGCCACCGCCGCCGCCGCCGCCGCCTCCGCCCCCTCCCCCACCACCGCCGCAGCCCGCGCCGCCGCCGCCGCCTCCGCCCCCTCCCCCACCACCGCCGCAGCCCGCGCCTCCGCCGCAGCCGCCGCCGAATCCCCACACGCCTCCGCCCCCGCCGCTGCCGCCGCTGCCGCCGCCGCCTCTGCCCCCGCCACCCCCGCCGCCGCCCGCGCACCACTTCTTCCTGAGGCAGCAGTAGCACTTGAGCCCCAAAACCCCCACCACGAAGGAGCCGCCGATAATCAGCCCCACGTCAACCTCCGCCTCCTGGAGCATCCGCGGGGCAGCCAAGACCGCCTCCGCGTCCCCGCCTCCGGCCGGGCGGCCCCCTGCAAGTCGGGGAGGCGCGAGCAGGCCAGCGGCGGCGCCCGCAGCGGCGCCCACCGCAAGCAGCCCGAGCGCCACCGCCAGGCAGGCCGCCGAGAGCGCCGGCCCGCCGGCCGCCGAGAGGAACTTGCCGCGGCCCGTGCAGGCTGGGCTGTGTGCCCAGAGGAACCGCGCGTCGGCGCCCGAGTGCGGCTGCACCTGCGCGCGCAGCATCGCCAGCGCATGCGCGACCAGGGCGGCGGGCAAGAGTGCGCCGCCGCCCCCAGCAGTCACTTGGCAGCCAGCGGCAGCGCAGCAGGCTCGGGCGCCGCCCAAGGCTGGCAGGTCGAACGTGGACACGCCCATCGGGGAAGCCGACGCCAGTTCCAGGCGCTTGCCATACTCGGGGCCCTGCAGCATCGTGAGGAAGGCCTGCAGCTCCCCTCGGCACCCCTTGCGGCTGCCGCCCCGCCAGCGCCCGGAGACCACCGCGAGGTCGCGGCCAGCGGCTCGGAGCAGGAAGGCCGCCTCACCACTCCCGCAGTCGAGCGTGGCAGAGGCCGTCGGGTCTGCGAGCTGGCCTGGGCTGGGGAGCTGGCACTCCCAGACCTGGTGCGCCGTGGCCACGGGTGGGCCTCCCGCGGCGGCCCCCGCGGACGGGGCGCGCAGCTCGCAGAAGCTGCCCCGGCTTGGGGGCCGCCCCCGCCGCTGCCCCGCCGCCCAGTGCACTGTGCGAGCGTGGAGGGCTGTGTCCCCGGTGGGCGTCAGCCAACGCAGCCGCTCGACGGTGGAGCTCAGGGAGGAGGCACCGACGCCGCACGCCGCGTCCACGAACTCGGCGGAGTGGAGCGACTTGGCGCCCACCAGGCAGGCCTCGCCCGGCTCATCCTGCACCGCAGCGGCGCGGAGCTCGGCGCCGCTCACGCGAGGCGGCTGCCAGCCAAGCCCGGCCTGGAGCTCCTCCTCGGAGGGGCTGCCACGGAACATGCCCCCGGCTGCGAACGGGCCGTCGCCGAATTCTTCCTTCCACGCCTGCTGCGTTTCCTGCCAAGCTCTGCGCAGCTTTGAACCCTCGGCGCGGTCGTTGACGCTGTCGTCGTGAGGCACCACCTTCCCGCAGAGGGAGATGGTGTCTGCCGCGTAGCGGGCCGGGTGCAGCATGTGGGCGTGCCAACAGGCGTCGATGTCGTAGGAGGGGACCCAAAACCCCTCTGGCCTGCGCCGCTGGAGCTCCAGGTACCTGCCCGCATACCTGTCGGCGGCCTCGCGCAGGAACTGCGCGTCCCTGTAGTGCGGCAGCACGGCCACCTGGTAGTGGAACGCCATCTGCCTGCCCGCGGCCCCGGCAATGTCGTAGGAGATGCTGCTGGGCAGGCCGCGCGGCTGTCCGCCGCGCTCCGCCCGGAGCGGGGCCCTCGCCAGGGCCTCGCGGACGTCGAACGCCTCGCCGGGGTGCGCCTCCTCCCACAGCGCCCTGGCCCGCGAGAGGCCGTCGGTGCGCGCGCTGCCCGTGAGCACGGCGTGGTCCACTCCCGCCGCCGCTGCCTGCCCGCCCGCGCGAGCGAGCACCTGCGAGACGTCGCGGCGGTAGGCCAGGGGGGCCAGCATGTGGCAGTGCCACGCCCACTCCACGTCGAGCGGGGGGACCAGGGCCCGCTGCAGTGCGGGCTCGAGGCCCGCCACCAGCGGCAGCCACAGCCGCTCGTAGCGTCGGACGGCCTCCGCCAGGACGTCCTGGTTCAGGTACAAGCTCGGGCACTCGTCCACCTCTTTGGACGCCCGAACTGGGTTCGGAAAACATGGATACGATGCCCAACAACAAATGTTGCCCAAAACCGACAGCGGCGGCCGTTGTGCAGGCGGCCTTCTGTCTCAAATGGGCAATGCCCGTGGCGGCACCGACAGCGATTCCTGAACCAGATTGGCAGGAACCGCTGTCGGCGTTCGTGCCCAATCTTCCCGTGCCCATTTCGACCGTACCGCACCTCGCTCAGGAAGCCGATCATGCCAAGAACCGCAGCTGGTAGGTCCACCGTCACCCTGTGCCGAGCGGGCGGCCCCTCGGCGTCGCTGCCATCGCGCCCCATCGCTTCCCCCGTCGCCGCGCGGTGTTTGGGACAAGGCAGGAGCACCCGGGAGGCGGGCGCGGCCGAAAGAGACGGGCGCCCAAAAGGAGCGGTACTTTTTGCAGCCCCCTGGGCCAACTGGAGCCCAAACGGTTACGGAGGGAGGAGGAGGGGGGGGGAGAGCACCGCAGTCTGATTTGTGTTGAAGGGGAGATTCGCACATGAGGGGGGGAGGAGGGGGAAGGGGGGGAGAGCACCACAATCTGATACAGTCGGATCTGGGCCAGAAGTGCATCCTTCAAGAACATGAGACCCCCGGCCGGCCAAACCAAATAGAACATCCAAGGGTACCCTCCCCAGGATGCACAAGAGCATCCAGCACGCATGAAGAACACCAGGGTACCCTCCCCGAACCGATCTCATTGGTTTTACCTCGGTCCGACTGTATGTGTCGAAGAAGATACTCGCACATGAGGGGAGGAGGACCAGAGCAGACCCAAGATGCGTCAACGATGCTGTCCAAGCTCAGACCTCGCAAGTCCCTGCACACCTTCCCTCGCCATCGCTTGGACGTCCAAACCCGTGCATGTTCGGTTTCGTGCGTTACATGTTCGCACGATGTTCCGAGATGCTCCTCGATGGTCCTCGCCGAGAAAATGCACACGTCCGAGCGATGCCAAGCTCCTTGTCACTGCCAACACCGCCCCTAAATGAGCTGCCTTGCATCTTTCGAACGAGTGATCATGAAAGCACTTGGGACACTACATTCAACGAAATGTCCAACCAACACCCCGTTTGAAAAAGGAATCGGCCCCACCCGTGTGCTGGCCACCAGTCTCAAACAATAACTCCAACTACAATGGGAGCCGCCCTCCATCCGTGCAGCTGTTGCATAGCCTGCAATCTTCTAGTCGTCGCATCTCATGAACATCTTGAGCACACGCCAGCTTCTTGGAACAGAAGCTGCCCTCCAATAGCAGCGCGGTTGAACCTTTCGAGACACGAACGTGCGCGGCGCAGAAGCGAGAGGCCTGTTTTTGAACACTCACGGCCCTCCATCCTCGTGGCTGCTGCGACCAGTGTGCGCGCCGCTTGGGCGACACCCTCTTGTGAGAAGGTGCCGCCCCCTTGGTCTTACAGTCGAGGCGTTGACCCAAGGAACTCTAAATAAGGAACGAGGTCCCTCTTTTCCACACGTTGAACTTCGATTTCGTATCGAAAACCTAAGGCAACCCAAGGCAAGCTGCGAAACAATCAAGGAACACTGAGCCCCTCCCCAGCGGAAAGGGTTCCTTCTTCAGGGCCCCGGCTGTACAGCTGATCGAACTGCCAAGCTTCAGTGTTCGACACGGTGAGGCAGTCTCAAACCACACGCCTGGTCCGACACGCCTGCTTCAGCCACACGCAGAAGGAGGGTGGGAGGAGGGGTGAGGGCTTCTTAGAAGCACCCCTGCTTCTTAGAAGGCGCTGGCCTTCTCTACAGATGCAGGGCTGGCGCCTTCTAAGAGGCAGCCTCCTTCCAAGAAACCCTCCCCCTGTATCCACCCTCTTGTGCGCACCGCCAGCTGATGGTGCGACAGGGAGGAGTTACCTCTGAAAGAGAAAGGTGGATCGGGGGGATGAGGATGAGAACGCGGCCGTACGGCTTGTTTTCGCGAGGAGGCTCACACATGAGAGGAGAAGTAGGAGGAGCAGGAGGAGGAGGAGGCGGGGGAGGAGGAGGAGGAGGAGGAGGAGGTGCGCAGCGTAGGAGGAGGAGGAGGAGGTGGAGGAGGAGGAGGAAAAGGAGGACGAAGAGGAGGAGGAGGAGGAGGAGCAGGAGGGGGAGGAGGAGGAGGAGGAGGAGGAGGAGGAGGAGGAGGAGGACGACGAGGAGACGGAGGAGGCGAAGGACAAGGGTGAGGATGAGATGGGTGAGGGTGAGGATGACGAGGTCGAAGGAGAAGACGGAGGAGAGGAATAGGACAATCCATTTCGTGGCGCGCAGTCGCAGACTAATGATGATGATCCTATGGGGGACAGCTTAGCGAAGTGAAGAGGCGAAGTAGGAGAAGATGATGGTAGACTCGTCTGTAGACAAATCTAGCCTCCTTGCTGTCTTTTCTTGCCTGAGCGGGTGGCACTGAGCTGGCGGCATTGGAGCGGGTGCTGCATCGGTTCGGGCGTTCGGGCTCCAGGAGGGGGGCGTTGCTGCGCGCGACGGGCCGAAGCGCCCACCGAGTGCCTCCCTTCGTCATTCGTGTCCTCCCCCCCGCTACCTCTGTCGTTCACCCACCCGGGTAACGTTTTGTCGTCGTCCGCGAACACCGTGCTGCCACCCAAGGCTGGCGGCAGGGCAGCAAGTGGCCCGCAGCTTACTGACAATATCCTCCTCCTCCTCCTCCCTTCCTCCCTCCCTCCCTCCCTCCCTCCCTCCCTCCTTCCTTCGTCCTCCTCCTTTCTTCCAACATGGGCTCCTCCCGCGGTGAAGGAAGATCGATCCATATGGGAGCCTATGAAGAGGTTGCTAGGAGAGAGGGTTGATTGCATCATCGTTGATGAGTCTTGGGTTTAGACTAGTCCTCCTCCTCCTCCTCCTCCCCCTCCTCCTCCTCCTCCTCCTCCTCCTCCTCCTCATCCTCATCCTCATCATCATCATCATCATCATCATCATCATCATCATCATCATCATCATCATCATCATCATCATCATCATCATCATCATCATCATCATCATCATCATCATCATCATCATCATCATCATCATCATCATCATCATCATCATCATCATCATCATCATCATCATCATCATCATCATCATCATCATCATCATCATCATCATCATCATCCCTTCCCCCACCTTCGCGCCTCTCGTCGCCGTCGCCGTCGTCGTCGCCGTCGCTGCCGCCGCCGCCGCTGTCTGTGCCGTCGCCGTTGCCGCCGCCGTCGTCCCCGTCGTCTCCGTCCTCGTCGCCGCCCGCGGCGGCGCCGCTGCCCGCGTCAGCCGCTCCCCAGCCAGGAGCCGGCGGGAGTGGCCGGCTCGGGGGCGCTGGGCTCCTGGCGGCGCGGGGCGCCGCACGGCCACTCTGCGGGGCGAAGGGGGCCTCGACGATGCCGAGGAGGAGGGTGGAGGAGGAGGAGGAGGAGGAGGAGGAGGAGGAGGAGGAGGAGGAGGAGGAGGAGGAGGAGGGAGGGGGGGGAAGGGAGAAAGAGGAGGAGGAAGAGGAGGAGGAGGAGGGGGGGGGAGGAAGAGGAAGAAGGAGGAGGAGGAGGAGGGGGAGGATTGTCGGGTAGCGCTGATGCCCGTTAGGGTAGGCATAATCCTTTATGTTTATGGTGGGGCACTTGGGCTCTCTCACCCTTGTATGTCGGTGCTGGTGACACGGGATAGGAGGGAAGGGGACGAAATGTAGGCCGTGGAGGGCGGCCCAAGGGATTGTGTTATGTATTGCCGCCTTTTCGGTCTTCAGAGCGTCCAAGTCGGACCAAGAGGCGCTGAAGATCGTCAGAAAATGGCCCAAGAGCCGAGAGTGCCCCAACAACTCCCAAGAGACCTCCTCCTCCTCCTCCTCCTCCTCCTCCTCCCTCGTCCTCTTCCTCTTTCTTCCCCAAGTGTTCCCCGTAAGGGTTCCCACAACAGCTGGGGGCACACACACACACACACACACGCACACTCCGATAGCGTGGCCGAGCTCTGGCCACAACGGTCGGCCGCAAAGTTCCAGAAGGCAAGGGGCCGCGATGATTCGCCGTAGGCGTCTTCGATAGAAGCAAAAAACAACCACCGAAGACTCCCACAAGGGCGATGGGGAACCCTAGACCGCATGGTCTGGCAGCCGTTCGCCTGAGGCTTCCTCACAATTTGGGAGGAGGGGGACGAGATGGAGGAGGAGGAGGAGGAGGAGGAGGAGGAGGAGGAGGAGGAGGAAGAGGAGGAGGAGGAGGAAGAGGAGGAGGAGGGGGAGGAGGAGGAGGAGGAGGAGGAGGGAGGAGGAAGAGATTCAGGATTCGTGCTCTCGCCCTAGTGCCGGGTGCATTTTTGGTTCGGACGGCCACGAATTCGTGTACTGAGGTGCACATGTCCGTGCTCCCACCCCCGTTCGAGGAGAAGGAGGGGGGAGGAGGAGAAAGGGGGAGGAAGGGGGAGGAGGAGGAGGAAGAAGGAGGAGGAGAAATATGATGATGAGGAGGAGGAGGAGGAGAGGAGGAGGAGGAGGAGGAGGAGGAGGAGGAGGAGGGGAGGAGGAGGGAGGAGAGGAGGAGGAGGGGAGGAGGAGGAGGAGGAGGAGGAGATTCAAGATTCGTGCTCTCGCCCTGGTGCCCGGTGCATGTTTGGTTCGGACGGCCACGAACTCTTGTACTGAGGTGCGGAGGAAGAGGAGGAGGGTGAGTGAGGAGGAGGAGGAGGAGGAGGAGGAGGAGGAGGAGAGGAGGAAGAGGAGGAGGAGGAGGAGGAGGAGGAGGAGGAGGAGGAGGAGGAGGAGGAGATTACCAGGAGATTACCACTGAGGACCAGTGTCCTTGCCAGAACTATAGATGTGCACCCACATCAAAGAAGAGATCGGGCCACTTCAGGCGCCCCCTGGGGGCACGGGTGCAGGCCCTTAGAAATTCGCACGAGGTTACACTGCCCCTTCTTGGAGCGCGCCGCTCCCGTGACGGCGGGCCCGCAAGGGCGCGAGAGGTGGCGTCCGTCGAGGGTCGCAGTGAAACCACATAACATACAAAATTTCAGACTCATGTGATCCCAGGACCAAATCTGATGTCCGGGGTCAACCTTTCGGCCCCCCACCCACACCGTCCCCGACTCCCGCCGAATGGTGACCCCAGACATATTGGGGGTGGTGGCGGAGGAGGAGGAGATGGGAGGGGGGCGGCACGGCCTCCTCGCGGCCGCCTCCAAGGCGGTGGTGGTGGCGAGCTCGCCACAGGTGGAGCACCTCCACCTGCCACCTGCGCGTTGGAATACGTGGGTGGAGTCCCGCAGAACCTGTACTCTGCGGGATATGCGCTGGCGCGGCACTGCAGGGCCCGCCCACTCTCCTTCCCACGGGTCAACGGCAGCTGTGTCCTGGAGGGCCTGGGACGCTCGACGGCGGACAAGCCAGGCAATCACGTCAAGCTCGTCCGTCCTAGGCACTTCCTTAGACTCGGTGGCTAACTGGAACCCG